AAGTTCATCTCAATGTTTCCAAAATGCATCTCTTCTGGTCTTTTCACTTTCTCTTTTCTTAACGTTATTTCATTGGAGATGTCACAACTTTTGGTCAAAAGGAGATTCCAGGAGAGTGGAGTTTCCCATAGAGTCACACTCGAGGTGGAACCGCAGGAGCTGCAAGGTGAAGTTTTCCAGCACACGAGACAGGTTGATGGAGTCGTGTTTGGCCTTTTAAATCCACAGGTCATGGAAGACGACTGCTGGCAAGCTCCTTCTCCATCACTTCACTCCTGTCCACAGGGCTCTATGTTTATGAGAGGTCCCTGGACACCTGATAAATGATAATGGCTGGTGAAGGGTGGGTGCGTGCACTCATACATCTGCTGCACTCCAATACCTCTTGTGTTTCAGGGCCACCAGGACCCAAAGGAGACCAAGGCAATGAAGGGATGGAGGGTGAACCTGGTCTTCCTGGCCTGCCTGGGCTGCGAGGTAAGGAACAATACTCCCAGGGTGCCCATGTCCCTTCAAGCCCTCACCCCAAGCCCATAGAGTCAACAGGACACCTCCTGGTGACTTCCCAACCTGTCCCTGGGGTCCTTGCTGGCTACACACAAGTCTTGAAGAGCATCGAATTAACCTGCTGCCCCATCTCCTGCCAGACTGCTGGTCTTTAGGGGCAAAAAGACCCTCTCTCCTCTCCCAGCTGGCCCCAGACAGTGAGAGTTGCAAGAGTCCATCACCCCAAGGCTCCTTTGACACGGCCACCCAGCCTGGGTTTGTGCAGGGACTGGCCACCACCCTCTGCTTGCTAAACCCAAGCCCTCACATGGCACCAGGGCTGGTCCCGCTGCCGCACACCCCCCCGGCGGCACACGGGGACACGGCGTGCCTGGCAGAGGGGACTCGGCCACCAGCTGCAGCTCTGAGGCTTTTCATAGGACAACTTTTTCAATGTCAAGCACGCGGATTTTTGCTTTTTTGCCCTTCTTAATTCCAACCATTGTTTTTGAGAGAAATTAAATTTAAAAAAAACAACAGAAGACACCCCCCACACTGAGAAACAAGACTTGGCTTGAGCCTGTTTGTAATTTTAAGGCAGACCTAGAACTGCTGGCTTTGCATCCATGAGCTGGGGATCCGAAGGCCGGAGCACCTCTGCTATGGAGACAGGCTGAGAGAGTTGGGATTGTTCAGCCTGGAGAAGAGAAGGCTCCAGGGAGACCTTCCAGCAGCCTTCCAGTACAGGGAAGCTGGAGAGGGGCTTTTTACAAGGGTGTGTAGTGACAGGACATGGGGCAATGGCTTTAAACTGAAAGAGGAGAGATTTTGATGAGATCTGAGGAAGAAAATTCTTTCCTCTGAGGGTGGTGAGGCACTGGCACAGATTGCCCGAGAAGTGGCTGCCCCATCCCTGGAGGGGTTCAAGGCCAGCCTGGATGAGGCTTTGAGCAACCTGGTGTAGTGGAAGGTGTCCCTGTCTGTGGCAGAGGGGTTGGAACTGAATGATCTTTGAGGTCCCTTCCAACTCAAACCATTCCATGATTCTATGTCACAGGAGTGATGGAGGATCCCCATTGGTGAGGATTTTCCATTCTCAAGAGGCTCTTTCCTATTGAGGTGACAGGATCCATACTGCTTAGGGCATAGACCTCCTCCTTCAGCCAGGGTGTCCAGCGCTGGCTTCACCTTGTCTGCTGAAGACGTGACCCATGGAGGACTCTCAGTGTCAGAGCAGGGGAGGTTCAGCACATCTGAGCTGCTGGTCCTGGGCTGGGCTTAAAACCTCATATTTTGGTCCCCCCTTTCCTCTGGCTGCCCGGCAGGCGGCAGGACCAGCCAAATTAGGCAGAGCCAGCTTGGAAAAACCCAACTGCTATCTGAAAGCCTTCTCTGCGCCAGCCACCCGTGCTTGTCTCACCCTTGGCTATAGTTTTTTTTGGTGTTGACAGATTCACGGCTGTTTTTCTTGGGTGTAACAAGCACCAGAAATATATTGTCTGGCTTTTTTCGTTTCTTTATTTTTTTTTCGGTGTTTAAACAGAAAAACAAAACAATTTCTGGAGGATTCACCTTGGGGAAGAGTTGGTGAAAGAGCGCGAATTTCAGTTCTTTCTCTGTCTCGCTTTCCCTGGTGCTTTTCTGGATGCAGTCATAGCACCAGCCCTTTGGATGCGAGAAGGTCCAGTCGAGGTGCAGCCAGGAGTCGTAAAGCATCACTGCTACATCCCCTTTTGTGCAGAGAACCTCCCGTCCTGCCTCTGCCCCGGCTCCTCCACCCCAATCCATAGCCAGGTCCTGACATGCGGCATCCCACCCTGGGAGGTGTTGGCCAGACACAGCAGGGAAAGACTTAAGCCCCAGACCATGTCCACTGGAGCTGGTGCCCAAATTCCTCCTGACAGCTTTTGTTTTTTTTAAAATCAGAGGAAAATAGTTGACTAAGTTTGGAAAAGCCCAGCCCAGGAGGGGCAGGAGGCCCAGTGCCAAGGGAATTTGTGGATACCTCAGTGTGGTGCCAGGCAGGGGGTGCTGAGCATAGGTGCTGGAGGAGCTCCATCTGAAAGGCTTCCACCTCCAGGAGCTTCGGATCCAGCCCGGGCTCAGGCTGGGGCTGAGCCTCTGCTGGGTCAATCTGGTGGCACCATCCTCAGGTCCCACCAGAGCCCATCACCAGCACAGGAGTCCCTCCTTCCACCGCCCCTTGCTGGCACACGTGAGTGGAGGTCACCTCCAGGGCTTGATTGTATCCCCGATGAAGGGAGCCCAAGGTCGCAAACTACAGCCCCCGTTTCCCACGTCCTGAAGTTCAGGGGTGCTCAGATAAGGGGGTTCCATCCAAACCCTTCTCCGATAAACAGCAAACCCACCTGGTCAGCGTGCATGGACACAGAGGACCTGCAGCTCATGCTGGTCATCTCATGTCTCCTTGGAGCCTCTGCTCCACCCTGGCTCCTCGCTCTTCCTCCTTGGTCTCCAGCTTTGGAGCCTGGTTACCTTCATCTGAGCCCTAAGGTACTCAGAGCTGTGTTAGCACCAACCTATCTCTGGGTGAAACCCATCCTGTGTCCAGGGGCAGGTGCAGAAAGAGGATGGGCTGGACTCTCAGGTGTCTCCTGATGGTCCCCAGCTCCTGGCAAAGAACCAGAGACCATCTGGCACGTCTGCTGGCAAGCAGGACACGTGCGCATGCACATGCATGTGTGTGCATATCTGAGTTTTGTAGGTCTCTGCTGCAACAGGGTCATTTTTGCCTCTTTGTCCTCGGTCCAGGGCTACCCGGCGAGAGAGGACCACCAGGACCACGTGGCTTGAAAGGGGACCAAGGAGACCTTGGCCCTCCAGGTCCAGTGGGGATGCGGGGGTTCAAAGGTAAGGACCAGAAGCCTCTGTGCGTGCTCCCAGGTGGGTGATGGAATCTGCCTGGGCTTGTTGGGTGGCAGACTGGCTCTGGAGAGCATCGGGATGAGGGACAGAGATGCTGGTCATGGGTGTGAGAGTAGTGGGTCCCCTGGCTTGGGACCCACCTGGAGCTCCTGGGGGGAAGAAGAAATATTGCTGAGCTGGGAGCATGTACGTGGACAACCTCTGCACCGAGACCTTTCCACCGCGATGGAGAAAGTCCAGGGATTGAAGGGAGAAGGGCGAACCAGTTGAGTTTGCGGTGCTCCTGCCATGCAGTAGGGTTCGGCACGGGCTGCACCGAAGCTTCGCTGGAGCCCCATGACGACCTGCCAGGCTGCCTTCCCACGCTTGGCTTCAGCAGGGCTTTAGGAACAGCCTGGGGTTTGTCTTCTGGTCACCTTTCCCGGATCACTGTGGTTTCACAATGTCTCACTGCACCCCAGCAAAGAACGAGGAGAAGCTGCGGGTGTCGGAAGTGGCCATGCACCTATTTAGCAGGACAGATCCGTCCCAGGAGACCTTTTGAAAGAAGTTCCATGCTGCAACCTGAAACAGGGTGGATGATCCCAAAACATGCTCTTTTTGCCTCAAAACACCGTTCGGGCAGGGGGAGGCAGAAGGAGCCCAGCCTGGCAGAGCTGCCCTGCCTGCCAGCTGCCCTGCTCACTGGTGCCCAAAGCGGCGTGTTCCCCTCATCTCGTGCTTGTGGGTGATGCGGACCTGGGACATGGCCATGCTGGCCACCAGGATCTGGAACTGTGGCCACAGAGCTGCCAGCAGCGCTCCAGGCAGGAGGTGTTGCCGTCACTTCTTCTGGAGGTCCCGTGTGTTTTCGGTCTCACGAGCTCTCGCTTCCATGCAACAAGCTCCTTGGGTGCATGGCACATGTGACAGCTGAAGGAGGACGTCCTCTTTCGATGTCCTCTCTCTGCTCTATTTGCAAACCTGGCTGGAGTTGGTGTCCAGTTTTCTTGTCTGTCCTCCAAAGTTCTGGTTGTGGGCAGGGGTTGGGGATGAGACCCCCGTGTCATGTCTGGTGGCCCATCCATGATGTGCAGTAGCCATCTCCTGTATCTTGCATGCCACCAGAAAGCCGCTTGCAGTCTAGGGACAGGAGCACATCTACCATCCCTTCTTCACTCTGTGGTGTCTTTAAGAGAAGGACTTTTCCTAGGGACATACCATCTGCCTCTCAGTGCCAGTGCCTCCTGGTGCAGCCCCAGGAAGCTTGAGGTCCAGGTAGAAAGGAGATGCAGGAGATGAGCTGCTGCTGGTGGCTTCCTCCTGTAGCAAGGGAGAAGCGTGAAGCTCCCAGAGCTGCAGCCCAAGGCAAGAAGGTCCCTTGCAGGATTAGCCCCTGTCCAGTCCTCTCTCTCTCGAGCCATCGCTGCTGTGATCACCAACCCTACTGACACGATGGCTCTGTTCATCCCAACATTCTCCCAGTCACCCCAGTCTGGGCACAAGGTGACCTCCTGGAGCCCATTAGCTGCTGGACATGGCTCTCCAGGCCACATGGCTGCTTAGATGACATTTTCGTGGGGGTGTCTGGTCTTGAAGAACACTGCTGGGTGCTATTTCCATCACTCCATCCCATCTAACTGGAAGCTCAGGGTTCCTGGGCTGATGGGGCTGGGACAAATCTCCATCCTCCCACCAAGGGAGAGGCCACCAGCGAGATGCAGAGCCCTGCATGCTGCAAGAACCAAGAAACCAGCATTTCATGGTTGTTTTCCAGCACTATCTCTTGGGTTTTTTGGCGGTCACTGTGGCCTGCAGGATTGCAATATGGTGTTGGGGAGGTGCAGGGCTTTATCTGAGCTGCGGAGTGGAGATGCCCAGCCCGATGCTGCGGGAGGGCAGAGTAACCCCTGGATTCATCCCCGGTACATGCCTCACGATGGCTCGAGGGCTGCAGGGATGGGTGCTCACGCGAGGGAGACATCAGTGCCGGGATGTTCCCGGTAGCGCATCCAGCACCAGGATCTGCCAACCGAAACCGTAACGTGCTGCAGGACTGCGGTTTCCTTCCCTTCCCCAGAGCAGAGGAGCGTGGGCTTTTCTCACTGGCCAGTGCCAAGCGCTCATTAGACGAGCAAATTGTCCCAAGAAGCCTGGATCGGACTTCAGTAGAGGACCAAGTCCTTATGCCAGATTTTTTCTGCAAAGTGCGTCCCTGGGGGCCGTGTCCCTTCTGGAGGGAGGAGGTTGATGGGCTCCTGCATCACGTTTTCACCCCTAAGACAGAGATGTTAATAGCTGCTGTGCTATTAAGCTATCTCACCACTGTGCTCAGTGGTGAGATGTATTGATGGGCATCACAGCTCCAGCAAGCTCTCTGGAGACACAGGACTGAGGATGAAGCCTTTCTCCAGTGCTTACCAGCCCAGGAGGTGGTGGAGACCACCCCCAGCACAGCCCCTGCCTCCAAGGAAGAGCAATGGCCACGCCACAGTAGGAGAGCATCAACCCTCACAAGCTTGGTGACCCTCCCCCAAAGCCGATCTGCATCTCAAGCCCCCTTGCCTGGGCAGATGAAGCATTTCTGCTCTTGGTTTTGGGAGGCAATGGGTCGGACAGCATGCCGAAGGGTCAGCGGGTCTTTGCTTCTAGCTATCATCCTTTCACGGATGTAGAGTAATCCCTGTATCTGAGGAGGCTTCTTGGCTTGAAGAACGTTAAGCTGTCTCCAGGGCTCCACCAGCCGTGGCCTTGATGCCCCTTCCTCGTGCATTTCTTGGAGGTGTCTTTGGTCTGGGATGAGGATGACTCTGTGGCAGCAAAGCCATCACGTGTTCCCCCGTGGGGATGGACTTCCCCAGGTCCCACCAGAGCCCATCACCAGCACAGGGGTCCCTCCCTCCACCTCCCCTTGCTGGCACGTCTGAGTGGAGGTCATCTCCAGGGCTTGGATGCGTCCCCTCCCAAGGGACCCCCAAACTCCAGCCCCTGTTTCCCACCTCCCGGAGGTCAGGGGTGCTCAGATAAGGGGGTTCCATCCAACCCCTTCTCCAATAAATAGCAAACCCTGCTGGCAGAAGCACTGAAATTCTACGGTTTATGGGATTCTCTGAAATTTATAGAAAACAGGCAGCGAGCCGGGCAGCGGTCCAAGCCCGGGCTTTCAGTGAAGACCTGTTTCTCTGCAGCACTAGTCTTACACATCTATAATTACTTTCTTCTGAGCATAGGGGAGCTATCGGTATCCTGGGAAATGCAGCCTGTCCTGGGGCAGGGGGCATCTGGGACAGATGAGCCCCCTCCCCAAAAATCCTGAGTCAAACCATCTCGCTGAGATGGTCCGACCTGGTTGAGGAACAGCTTCTCCTCTCCGCAGCAGAGTCCTGAGTGTTGTCTCTTGTTGGTATTTTCCTATCCTGGGTGTATTTTCCCTCAAAATTACCCCCAGTGGAGGATTATTTTCCTCGTTTCCAAATGGGGAAAATTATTCTGGAAAGTGAGCGTGCATCAGTCGTCTTCACTCTTCCATGGAGAACGTCGTGCAGGAGGAAACAGCCATAAATGGGCCAAGGTAGGGATCGCTGATTTATAGAAAAATTCAGGGCGATACAAGAAGTCCCCTTCCTAAACCCCACGTGCAGGCAAGTAGGAGGATTTTGGCACGTTGCTGAAGGCAGAAGATGTTTCTGCATGTGAAGATGGAGGTTTGGCAGCTTCTTCTGGGGCTTTCTCTGGGACCACGGTGGTCCACCTTACACTGCAGACCCAGGAGCTCTTTCCACCCTTCTCCAGTGATGTCCTCTCCCATGAACTTTGTGCCCTGCCTCCCTCAGCAGCTCTGATTTTCAGAGCAGAGGCAATGCCCAGGAGCAGGACATCAGTGGGGACCGAACTTCTGCCATGGGAAGAACTGAGAGTCGCTTATCATGGCATACATGCCAAAATTGTGTGCACAGTCCAGAAAAAACAGACTGAGCTGCACTGATTCACCCACGGTGGAAAACGGCCGAGCAAGACCTTGACAGTCGTTGGGTGAAGGCACCAGGCAGGACCTCCTGGTAGGACCAGCGATGGTGCCAGCAAGGGGCTCTCCTGAACTTGTGGGCTCTGTTGCAGGCCCCAGGCTTTCTCCTTTCCAGTTCACAGGGGCTTTGTCCCCAGCTGCGGATGTTCTCCAGCCCCAACACCTCGAGGAGCTGGCCTTGACCCCAGGGAGAAGCAGCAAGCTGTGCCACCAAAGGGGCTGCCCTCTCTGCTCACCACAGAGCTTCTGTGGAGAAAAGAGAGACGGAAAGAAGGGAAAAAGAGGAAAGAAGGAGAAAAGCCTTCCAGGAGAGCAATGACATGAAGGGGCTTGGAGTACTGCACAGGAAAAGCCAAGGTGGACAGGGAAGGATGAGGCAGAGGGCATGGGATGCATTTTAAAGCACCTTCACAAATCTGTTGGCGTCATCCATTAAGTGCTTCTTCCATTTGAAGGGTCTTCCCTCTGCTTTAGTATGAAGCTAAAAGAAACTCAACCAAGAAACAACTTGGCATAACCCTACCGCAGCAGCACAGGTCAGAGATAGGGAGGAGGAGCACACCCAGAACAGAGCGCTCCTGGTCAGACCCACTGACCTATCCCAAAGCATCAGCTCCAATGACAGGCTGTTTCCAGCAATGTTTGGAATGGGCCCAGCTGCCCTGCAGAGATCATGGTGTCATGCACGCTGTCACCATCCCAGGCCATAGCTGATCTCAGGATTGCCTACAGGGCTGCCCTCACTGGTTCCTCCAGCAGCTCCCATTGCACTGACTCCTACTTCCCCACTTGTAGCCAGTTCCTGCTCCTCAGGAGCCCCCGGATAGATTTTTAACAGCTCAGGATCCTTAAGCTGAGCCCATCTGCTGCCTTTTGGAGACCCAGCTGCACTCCATTGGCTAATGACACCCACCCCAAAGTTCCCAGGTGAGCAGCATCTGACCCTGAAGACGTGGTGCTGGGTATCTTGCTCCCCCTGTGCCAAGAGCCCCTGGTGTCCCCCATGGCATTCCCGGCTGCTGGAGAGGTCCTACCACTGGCCTCGCTGCCTTCCGCCAATGCCTCTCATAGTGCCGCGCTACGATTTTCATTTACACCAATGTTGTTTTTTTTTTCCTTGGTCTTTTTCTTAAAGGCTTCTTACCATTGCTGATGGTTGTGGTCTCCAATCGTTAGAGTATTTCCTTCCCCTGCAGCATCCCTGAAGTCCCTGACTTGTCCCAGTTGCTGTCACCTCCCTAAGGAGACTGGCAACGATACAGCAGTTGAGTTATCTACTCCAGGAGTTTTGGTCCATGACTTTTCTGCCAAGCCCAGCTGATGCAGAATCATGGAACGGTTTGGGTTGGAAGGGACCTTCAAGATCACCCAGTTCCAACCCCCGTGCCATGGGCAGGGACACCCTCTACTACACCAGGTTGCTCAAAGCCTCATCCAACCTGGCCTTGAACACTTCCAGGGATGGGGCAGCCACAGCTTCTCTGGGCAACCAGTGCCTCACCACCCTCATTGAAAAGAATTTCTTTCTGTCCCTCAAGCTC